TACTTGTAATCTGTTGTGATTAGTGGAACCCTTCAGTTGAAGGAGACTGGACGTAGCTCAGGTCGAGTGAACCAGTTTAAAACGCTTTGCACTTCTTATCTTTTCTTCAGACGAAATTTCTCTTTAAGCTTATATATTATATTGAAGTTTCGTTGACTGATTAAATCCTTTTTACAGTAAACATTTTCAGACGAAAAATACATTTGTCCAACTCATTACTTAGAAAAACACTTTTACCTATTTTCTTCAAGCAGACGATAAACCATCAGACTAAAAATCTTTTTCTGAGCCAACGGTGCTCAGTTTCAAGTGTTCAAAGTAATATTCTCATTAGACGAAAAATTGTCTCCTTGTGAAACGCTTTTAAAACTCATTCGTTCACACACATTCAACCCCCGCTTTTTGTGTGTTTTTCCGCTAACTTCAAATAATATAGGAATCTATATTGGTTCACTGTCCTTAGAAAGCTACATGTAATCTTATCTTATTAACACAAATTATCGGTTAGCCACTATAAATAAGGAAGTAGTTACATACCAATTTAGACGATCACACTTATATCATAGGCATTTCTATCACCACCAACAAAAACCCTTGGCTAAGACTATAATTATAAAACCTCTTCTTGAACATGTAGACTCGAGAATACTTATCTTAAGACTACATTCTTCTTACATGGAATTGAAAATCCTATATAAGAAATCTATCCCGATTCCTTACAATAATATAACAAGAACGAATAAACCTATGTGTAAAGCTTCCCTATTTTCTCTTTTAGGTTTCTTGATAAGAAAGAATCATTTTCTTGAATATGAAAGCCTCAAATCACTTGTTTTATGAATTCACGATTACCTTATATTGATCCACACATGTGCTATTTAAAACTCACATGTACTCCTGTATGCTTATAAACTCATCATTTGAAAATGGAAGGTGTTTGGGTTTATATAGAAAAATATACGTCAATGGTGTAATCAATTATATTGATCATGTAATCGATTACATTAATCATGATTTTTTTTTGGATTTTCTAGAACCTCATTTATGTGTAATGTAATCGGTTACTCTATTTGGTAATCAATTAAAATAAAACATTCTTAACTTTTGACAATTACACATAATCTTATATAATTGATTACATTTTTCTCATAATAACACATATGCAAAATTGTTCAATGTTTAAAAATCTTAACCTATTTTTGAAAATCCTGATTATGTGACTTCATTATAAATCTCTTAAATCAAAATAACATATTTTTTTTTATGTAATTGATTACTCTATTGTGTGATTGGTTATAAAAGAGTTTTTTGTTTTCCAGACCATGTTATTTAGCAATGTAACTGATTACTTCATTTATGTAATTGGCTATATTAAACATTTAGAAAACTTTAAAGCCTAACTCTTTCTCCAACTTGGTTAATTTAACTTTATGAAAACATGTTTTTTTTTCTTCTTTTTTTAATTGGTTTATTTTTAATTATTTTTTTAATTTGTTCATTTATGACATGCTTGGCTTAATTGTTCCCTACTAATTCTAAAACCTTTAGTCTATTCTATTACATCATAACACTTCTTGAAGTTAGGCTCTTTGTTAGTCTTCATATGAAAAGCCAAAACCATCCCAAACCATCTTTATTATTTCAATATCTTCCTTTTGTTTTAATCAGAACAAGTGATAGTAGTGATGACAACAAAAATTTGGATGGTGGTTGTAATAGTGGCAATAATAGAAACAGCCACAAAGGTTGTGGTATGCATTAAGAATTTTTAATTCAAAGGATAACTAGGTCACCTAACTTCCATAACAATCCAGGGTCACAGGGTTTAGGATATTAGCCAGCTACACCTTCAAGGGAGAAAGAGTTTATAAGTCTCCTTTTACACAAGATTTTCTAAAATGTTGGCGGACAAACATTAGAAAAAATTAGCTCTGGTGGCCAAGTGGACCAACATCTCTAAGGGGAACCCTCCCTCTTTTTCTCTATATACGAATCACGAACTCAGGGCATCCCAGACCCTTGAGGTGGTCGTGCGGTAGGTGTTGCGGGTGAAGCTTGCAGAGCTTGATGGATAGGTTGGTGAGGATATGGTGAGATGGCAATGATATTTGGGTAGGCCATGTGAGGGTTGTTCCAGTTTAAGAATGGGTCGTTCCAGTTACAAAACCAACACATAACGGCCAGATTCAGAACGACCCGTTCTGATTTTGGAACGGGCCGTTCTGGAAACTTCTAACGTCTATAAATAGACGACTCAGGCATAATTTTCAGAGCCAAAAAATTTCATCCAAGACAACTCATCTATGGAACGAGTCGTTCTAGTTTAAGAACGAGCCTTTCCAGTTACAAAACCAACACATAACGGCCAGATTCAAAACGAGCCATTCCGGTTTTGGAACGGGCCGTTCTGGCAGCTTCTGACGTCTATAAATAGACGACTCGGGCACAGTTTTCAGGGCCAGAAAATTTTGTCCAAGATTCCTTATAGCTCGAAATTTCTCTTTCTCTCTCCTCTATATTTCTTGAGTTTTTGTGAGGAACATTGTAGTGTGTTAGGTCGCCAAAAAGTGCTTAATAGATCATCATATTTGAAGATTCAACAAGTTAAAGTCTCTCATTTAGTATCATTTCTTTTTCTTTCTTTTTTATTTATTTTATTTATTTTTATTTTTTATTTAATAATTATATGTAATTAATGAATATGATTTGTTGTCTTTAAAATAATTGTTTAAAGAGTATTTAATATACGAAAAATAATAATGTTAATTGAATAACATTTTATCTTTAACATTATTTGGTTCTAAGGGTTTAATGACTAGTCATTTGCTAGCTTAAACTTTCCTGTACAGAATTTCTTTTTAAAGAATAAAGATGTTGCAACCAATAACGTTAATTAAGTAGTACTTCTATTTTTAACATTATTGGAGGGACTTATTGATTAGCCATTTGCTAACTTGAATCCTTATGCAAAATCTATTTCTTTAGATAAAAATATTCATGTATACTTATTTTTATGGTTAATGATATTAATTGAGTAGCACTTCTACCCTTTAATATCATGTAAATCATAAAAGTTGATAGAATAATTATTTATTGTCCTAAGCTTTAAGCATAATTTAGTATCAACAAATAAAAATCAATAACATTAATTGAATAACAATTCTATCTTTCATGTTATTGGAAGGGTTTATTGATTAGCCATTTGCTAACCTAAATCCCTATAATTTTCTAATAAAAATACAAAAAAAGAAGCATCTCACATACATTTCTGAGGAGTAAATTAAATATTTATAAATTTATATAATTTTGCGCAATTAATTAAAAGTATTGTTTTTACGGGTGTCGTAGGGTATTAATTAAAGAGTTTTCCAATGCTTTTCCCTTAAGATAAAATATTGGTGGCAGCTCCATTGAACTAAGGTTACCGTCATCCCGTCGTGATCCCGGTTACGACAGTTATATTGATGAACAAAATATCAATCAATTCATTCTTGAGCTTTAAAGATCAAACAAACAAGATTTCAATACTTAACAAGCAATATCAATAAATGATAAGATATGGAGATGAAAGGGAAAAAATAATAATGTTAAGTCAGACGAAGAAACTCTCGATAATATTTTGAATATGACAAATATAATGCATATTATTATTTCTAACATGTGTGTTAGTACTTCAGATAAATATAAGAACAAAATGAAAAATAGAGTACGCAATATTGCACATACCATGTTTGAATGAGCTACACAAAACATCAGACGATATAGTTAATCAGACATCAAGACTAAAACTTGGTCAAAGGCCAGATACAAGACAAAGCGTACTAGTAGTCGAAGTTTTGAAATAGCAGATGAAAGGCCAAAACAAGCATCAAACAAGGCTAAGTCAAGAACAAGATAAAGTTGAAGCTTAATGGTCAATTAGTCGGAAGTCAAAGCATCAGACAATGGATAAGCTAAGACAAAGAAGTCAAACCAGACAAAAGGAAAGGTCAAACTAGATGAAATGAAAAGTCAAAGTCTATCTCTTAGACGGAGACTCAAATTTCCAGACATACACGAAGCATATTGAAATGTGTCTGAAGTCCACTATTTACAACGAGGAATATCATATATCATCCCATTCACAAGAAGAGCACACGGAGTCATCAAAAATATGAAAAAGAAGAAGAAAAACAAAAGAACGCAAAATTGCAAGTCAAAGTTGCGAGTGTTAGAGCAAGTACACCTACTTTTCAGAAAAAGACAATGCTTCTATAGCTACACTGACGGAAAGAGAAAAGAAATACCTAGGTTATGATTGAAGTTATAATAATAACCTTTTTGAAAATTGGGGTGTTACAAATTTTCCTTCAAATTTTTAAATTAGAGATCGTTTTCGTATGAGTTTAACTTCATAAAGTCCACCTATATATTTCCTACAATTTTTAAACAAAAAAATCATTTCTTTTTTCAAATAAATTTAGAAATTTTAAAATATTCATATAAATTCATATATTTATTTATTCTTTAATATCCGGAATAAAATGTTAATTAAATTGTAAATAATATCATTTATATATAATATACTTAATATAAATTTACAAAATAAGTTTTACACAATTTTTTAATTTTATTGTTATTCTAAAATTTTATAAATTATTCAATTCTTTGTATTTTTTACGTATAGTCTGAGTTAGGATATTTTCCTTTCTAAAATCTTATAGTTTTTTTTTCTTAATTAAGTTATAGATGAAAATATAAAGAATTCCAATTATTTTATTCAACACATGATATTACTGTAGGGTCATTTGTCATCAATCTCTCTTGCGTTCCAATTTCTTACCTTTAACTCATTAATTTATCGAGTGATGAATTTGAACAAATAGCTTTAGTGAATGTAAAATTGGAAGCAACCTTCAACACAGGCATACATACAAATGATACAAAACAAAATGTCGTGGGTCCAATGGCAATGCAGAAAAGAGCATGATTTTAAAAACCTTAGTATTTGCAAATGGATCTCCAACTTCCTCGACACAAATACACAATAATAATCCACATCACTTTTGTTCCAGGAAACTCAGAATTCATGTAGTTTCTTAAAACACCAAAATAGGTGGGGATAGGTCATAGATCATGTAACAAAAATAGTAAATACAAAAAACCATTTCTGAACACCCAAAATAGATGTCAAGTGACAAATATTTCAATGAATTAGTGCCAAAGATAATAATTAGTACAAAAATAACCATAATAATTAGTGCTACTTGTGGTGCTATCAACTTTTGATCTTGAAGATATGCAACTCCCAAAGAAGCTAAATCTAAACCACCATTTTCTTTCCTTTCCACCATCCTCCTTTTTCTTTGACTTGTCCGCATCCAAACTCCCTGCCTGAACTGCATTACCACCAAACCCCACCTTCCAAAGTGTCTCAAAAACAAGCTTCCATGCCCTTAAGTCTCACACTTTAGATACAAAGCAACTTCAAGTTCATCATTTATATATGTCCAAGCTAAACTTTTATTACTTTGATAAAGTTCAAATCTAGTTTTACCTCCGTCCTCATGAGCATAATTGGTCTTCCAAGAAACATCTCAAGCCAACAAGCATCATGCACTTGAGAGATCAATTGCATATCTACAATCTATTGAACGTAGAAGAAGTTTAGGAGCCCTATACCAAAGTGCTACCACTCAATTTTTAAAAGGCCCTTCAGGTTTAATAGCAGAAGAATTGTCAGTCCAAAATCTGAAATTTTTAGCACCTTTATTCAATCTACTAACAAGATCAAACCTTTGCGCATAGCTCCCTTCTCAAGACAATGTTGGAGCTCCAAAAGCTGCTGCCACATATAACACTTGATCTGCATAAATTATAACTAATAAAATACTGAAGTGAGGATATGCTTATTATTTATTTTCTTTCTTTTTCCTTTTCCATGATGCTAAATAAATGGAGTCAAAACAACACCTGTTATTCTTTATACTTTCATTTTATTGTCAACCAAACCAACTAGAAAATAAAAGTTATCACTATTGTCATTTTAATTCTTCTTAGATTCTTCCCTATCATATTCTTTACACTTTCAAACAAAGGGGCTTATGAGGAAGAATTAAGTGATAGTCCAAAAGAATACTTGATCGTAATGGAACTTTAGTAGAAGATATGAGTGAGATTTAACTAGTATATATATAAATACTTGTATATTTATTCTCTTTTATATTCACTGCCTCAACTAATTGGTTTGACCCAAGCAAGAATAACATACATGAGCGTGACTGTTATAAAAAAGTATACAACAGAGTAAATAAATGGTAATGTTTAGAAATTATAACAATTAATGAATTTTAGTCAACACCGAGTATGTGCTCAACACAGTTCAAAGCACAATATGATTTCTTGATAACTCAGGTCACAATCTAGCCATACAAGCATCAATTTGCTTACCTCAACCATTCTACAATCATCTGCAATGTACCTCTGAGCACATGGAGGATTAATTCAAGAAGCAAAGGAATTTTCACAATTAAATAAATGTTTCAATATACATAATAAAAGTCATCAATCTACAACAAGCATCACATTTATGGAAAGAGAATATTATTCTTTTTTCACCTCCCACTCTTTCTCTTTCCATCCACAATGGCTATCGTAAATATATCATAAAATTGCCCTTTTCCTTTTTCTTTTTCCTCTTTTTGTTTCTTCAAACGTACATTTGAAACATAAATGCAGTAAAGCTAACAACATAAAGATAGAGAAGATCACAGAAGTTCAGCAAATCAAACAAAAAGTACTCGGCATTGCACTTCCAAAGAAAGCAAATGTATACAAATTCCAAAAGAAAAATCCAGCAAGTCCCACTCACACATTGAACAACAAAATGTAAAACAGTTGAACATGTTAAAAACTGTTTGGATTGAAGAAAAAAAACGACAAAGAGAAAACCACAACTCCAAATGTTCAAAGGATTTATCTTCACAATAATTAAAATAGAAAATATGAACTATATCACTAGTTTCATTAAATAAATTATAAAATTAAAAAAAAAAAAAAAAAAAAAAAAAAAAAAAAAACGAAGAAGAAGAAGAAGAAGATATTTCTAAGGTTCTGGACACTGGACTGGACTAGAAAAGAACTGAACATATTCCTTTTCTATCTTTCCCATGCCTTTTTAGTCACTTAACATAGAATAAAGCACAGAAATTCCAGCAAAAGAGATGGACAAAAGGCCAAAACCAGATTCTATATCTCCACTTTAGTTAAATTAAATTCCAAAGAAATGAAAATTAAAAATTAAAAAAATTGTTAAGAACTTCCTAGCCCTTTCTGTCACACTATGATAATTTATCTACTCACTTTTCTAGGTACCCAGGTATCCACTAAAATTAATCACAATAATAACAACAACCTAGTTTTGTTTCATTTTGGTTTCCCTTCTGTTTCCAACCTTTTCCCAGAAACCAAATACAGGCACACAGCAAAACTGCTATCATTAATAACACAATTTCTCTTAAAAAAAATTATAACACTATATAAAAAAAATTAAATATAAAAACAAATGCATTTACTGTCTTGAAAGTTATAAAATTCAATATTTGTTTATTTAGTAATTAAGGAAAATCTGTAGAATTTTTTTTGTACAATTCTGATTTTGTGATACCAACCTGATCAGAAGCCACAATGACAGGACTCTCATCAACTCCTTGGAAAGTGGACACTTGAATTCATCAGGGCAAGAGGTGACTCTCTTATTGTGCAGCTTCAAAGACAGTGAAGACCTTTTTCTGAGCTTCAACTCCTTGAGAACACAGAGAGTGTCTCTTGCTTGATCATCTAAAATAGATTTCACCAGCCTCTGCAGTTCCCTCTTCAGCTCTATGGCCTTCTTCACCATCACCCCTGGGCCTGGATCAGACTCCAACACCCCTGGCTTGGCCATGTGACTCTGATTCTGATGATGATGATCCCAATGGATCAGACCCAAAAGCCTTCAACTTTAGACAATCCCAAAATTTTTATGTATTGAAAATTGAAATTTTAGCTCAGGGAATGGAGAAGCAGAGAATATCAGTGGAAGCACTATGTCTAATCCCCATGGAAATAATTTCGTGAACCAACACTCATCCTCTTTTTGTTTTTTTTTTCTGGTCCATCCCCAAATATAGAAATTGGTTAGGAATTGGGATACAAATGCAAAAGTCATGTCTCATTGCATATTTATGCAGCTGGAGTGTGCAAGTACTTACAATTCAGTATAGCGTTATGGCTGTATCAATGGATTTTAACATTTCATTAGATGATAATTGTGCATCTACCACCATTCAGAATCATTGTCGTCTTGAATCTTGATGAACTTGAAACTAGCCTTTAGATGTCAAACTCACTATTCTTTTACCAAGGATGGAATCCAAGAGATTGGATTAGTAGCTATTAAGAGTCACCAATCATGACATTGTAGCTCTTCACAAAAGGCTCCAACCAGCCTCTTTCTTCATCCCAGTTCCCGTCAACAAGCTTCTAATCTTTGTGACTTCTTCCCACTGTCCTACATCTGCACAGATGTTTGAAAATGACACATACGCTCCAGCATCACTTGGCCCCAATTCCAATATCTTTTTGGCTGCTAACATGCCAATCTCAAAATCACCATGGACCTTGCAAGCAGCAAGCAAAGTTCCCCATATTAAAGCATCAGGCTCAAAGGGCATCATGTTAATGAAACTTTCAGCTTCCCTCAGTCTACCTGATCGACCAAGAAGATCAACAAGACAAGCATAATGACGATGTCCTGGCTTAATATTGTAGTCTTTACACATTGAATTAAGATAGAAGAAAGCTTCTTCAACCAGCCCACTATGACTACATGCTACTAGAATCCCAACAAAAGTTACTGCATCAGGTTGGATGCCTTCTCTTCTCATAAGTTCATAAGCAGCTAAGGCCTCTGCACCTTTACCATGTTGAGCATAGCTCACTATGATTGATGTCCAACCTATCAGATCAGGCTTCTCAGCATCATCAAATGCTTTCTGGCAATCCTCAAGACTTCCACATTTTGAGTACATTGTCACTAGCGAACTACCCACAGATACATCTGCTTGTAAGCCCAATTTCCCAATGTAGGCATGCAGTTGAGTTCCAATGTCTGATCGATATAAAACTGCAGCAGCACTAAGAATGGATGAAATTGTGAAGGTATCAACTGTTACATTAGTCAAAAGCATATCATGGAATAACAAGAATGACTCTTCAATTAGACCCTTTTGGGCATATCCCGAGACCAAGGAAGAGCAAGCAAAGGCATCCTTTTTGGGAAGCTTATCAAACACTGTCCTTGCCAAATTCAAGTTTCCACATTTAGAATACATGTTTACAAGTGCACCACCAACAACTATGTCTGTTCCCATTCCTAAACAGAAAGCATAACCATGAATTTCTTTACCTGTTTTTAAGAAACCAAGATCAGAACATGCAGTTAGAATTGAGATTAAGGTAATGCTATCAGGCACATTTTCTTGATATAGCATCTCTTTAAATAACTGAAGTGCTCGATCTGCACATCCATGCTCTGCGAAACCAGAAATCATGGAGGCCCATGAGACGTTGTCTTTGACAGGAAGTTGCTGAAAACCTTTATAAGATTCCTCTAAACAACCACACTTTGAGTACATGGTAAAAAGTGAACAGCCTGTAGAAACATCAGTGTCTAAGCCAGACTTCAAGGCATAGCCATGTATCTGTGACCCTAGACTTAAGCAGCTCATAATACTTAACACACTACTAATACAATACTCATCAGGTTTCACTCCTTCTCGTAACATATCATGGAATAATCCTACTGCCCTTCCAAAATTTAGGTTCTGAGCAGAAGAAGACAACATGGCTGCCCATATGCAATGATCCTTTATGTTTTTCATCTCACTGAAGGCTAACTCAGATAGTCCAACTTCTCCTATTTTTGCATACATGTTGACTAAAGCTGCCCCAACCTTGGCATCCATATTCAACCCTAATTTTAATACCAAGGAATGAATTTCCCCGGCCTCCTTAATCATCCCTGGTTTAGCACATGCAGAAAGTACACTAGTAACAGTATAGCTATTTATCTCCATCCCTATAGCTCTCATATTTTTGAAAAGCTTTAGTGCAAAAATAATATCATCCTCTTGCACAAACCCAGAAATCATAGCAGTCCAGGAAACCACATTATGAACTTTCATCTGGGAGAATTGTCTAAAAGCTTCATCCATACATCCAAATTTCACATATAAATCAACAATAGCAGTCTCCACAAAGACATCTGTTGCACCACATTTGATTGTCAACCCATGAACACCTCTCCCAACATGCATCTCTTTAACCACACAACATGCAGTTAAGATGCTTGGAAATGTATAACTATTTGGCATTAGAGATTCATGGCGCATTTGACGAAATAGATCCAAAGCAACCCAGCTCTCTCCACTTTTAACTGCCAACGAAGTGATAGCATTCCAACAGGCCACATTATCACTGGAAGCATCATAGAAAAACCTTAAAGCCTCCTTGAAGTTACAATTTTTGGAAAACAAATCCATCATTCGAGTCTGAACATAACCACTGGAAACAAAACCATTCTTCAGCACAAGTGAATAAATTTGCTTGCCAAATACTGAAGCTCGCAAAGCACGACAGGCCGAAAGAACACTCCCATAACTGAACTCGTCAGGCTCAACACCAAGCATATGCATCCTACAAAACATCTCAAATGACTTCTCAAACATTGAATTATAGTCACAACCAGATATCATGATGTTCCAAGAAACAAGATTTGGAAGAGCAATTGTATCAAACACCTGGTGGGCAACAACCATGTCAGCAGATTTACAGTACCAATCAAGCAAAGAGTTCATCAAGAAGATATCAGACTGTAAATCGTGAGTTTTAGTCAAATGGGCATGCAAGATTTGCGTGTTCCTAACACTGCGCTGCCCTGAAAACATGTAATCACGTAAGAACACAAGAGGGTTGGAAAAGGTGGAGTTCTCTTCATGTTTAACAAGTGAAACAAATGGGTTTTGTATAAAAGCGAAGGAACAGGAGAATCTGAAAACAAGTTGTGAGCTTTTAAAGTTGAACTTTTTATTAATTTGATAATTCATGAAGATCATACGAATGGGGCAGAATGCCAGAGCCATATCCCCTATAATAGCAGAGAGTCTTAGTTTAATGAACTGATAAATTTACATTCTATGTAGGTATCTATCTAGCAACTAGGGTGGGCAGGGCCATAATAGCTTAATCCGAAATAAACAGATACAGGGTTTCAAATTGTCGGTGTGATTGAAAATCACGGAATTTTCCGCAACGCAACAAAATTGAACTTCTATTGCGTAGTCACGACCTTTCTCTCCCCTGTGGCTCGTTCTAGAAAGTATTATTTTGGACTCTGGAGTTTTGGGTTCGTAGGGTTTGTGATTTTTTTTTGGGAGGGGGCGTTCTCATACAGGTCTAAACGGAGAGTGGCATGAATTTGGGGTTGGCTGAGTGGTATTTTATGGGAATGGAGCTTTAAATGAAAATAGGTGAAAGTTTTGGGTTTTGAATTTTCAATTATATTAATAAAGGAAAAGATTAATTAACAGAGAAGATAAAATGGGTAAAAATTTAGAATTAGATTAGAACCTTAGAAGTGAAAATTTTGGATTTTAATGAAAATGAGAAAGAAAAAACTTAATTTATGGAAGGATTTTAGGGAAATAATTAAATATATATATATATATATACAAATTTTTTAGAAAAAAAAATGTATAATCTTAAAAATAAAAGATATATTAATAGTTATAAATTTTTATTTTATATTTAGAACAAGTATTTAATAATTTCACAATGCAATAGTCAAAATCCATATTTCAAGAGTTGCAGTATATATTTTTTTTACTTTTCATAAATATCTAACTAATCACTTATCTTTGTATTTTTTTTAAATTAATAGAAACACATAACTTCTTCCCATTAGTAATAAATTAATAAAAAACCTCAACCCTGTAATTTAGCGGTAAGGTTGATCCACGCTTAAGAAAGGTCAGGGGTTCGAATCCTGCCTTGTGTATTGAGGCCAGCTATCCCACCCTTTGAGGTGTCTCCAACCTAACGAGGAGATTAGTCAGTGGATACTCTAGGAACGAACTAAAAAAATAATAATAATAAAAATATTCATACATGATAAAAATAAAAATAATTTATTTAAATTGTATGTATCTTTAAGTTTAATCATATATGATAATAATATATTTTAAAAAAAAATATCATATATTATAATTTAAAATAATTTTTTAGTTTATATAATTTTACTTATTTTACTTTTCAATTTCTTTAATTTAAAACAGATATTTTTAGACTTTATACTTTTTTATAAAATTATTTTTAGTCATTATAGTTAAAGATAGATTTTTTTTATAACCTTAAACTTGTTTTTTTTTATAATTATTTTAGTCTCTAACATTAATTTCTTTGTAATTTATTTCTTTTGTATTGATGTGAGAGAGATATTTAATTTTGTGTTTTTTATGTCAAATTTTTTTACTAAAGTTATCTTAAATTAGATTCTTCGACACTTTGTCACTTTTTTGTCTTCACCTATAATGGTCATTGCAAGTAAAGGCTTTAAGCATAGTTATCACGACCCGTTTTTAGAGAGGCACCAATTTTTATTTAATTTATATAAATATAAAAATAAAATTTGCATAATTAAATTATATAAGAAAAATATTATTATAAAAACAAATTGCTAGTTCAAGATGAAGGCTTTAAAATAAACATCAAGTACTATTATTTCATCTTATTGTCATTTACTTATTAAAGATTCATAATTTCAATCATATATTATAATTTAGTTTTTTGTTTATCCTTGTCTAATTGTTTGGATTTGAACATGCACAAAAAATAATCTTTTGGTCGTCTAAAATGGAAAAAGAAATTAAAGTAAATAAATAAAATTGATATTGATTCTCAATAAAGTGCTCAAATAAATTTTTTGTTAAACATTCAACAATTTTTTTTTCTAAGTGATGCAAATCTAGATAAATAGACTTCAAGGCTAAAAATTTTTAAAATGAAAACCTATGTAAGAATAATGAAGCATCTAATATTTTAATTGAAAATATTAAAAATAAAGATAATTATCATGATGAAATTAAATATAAAAATCATAAAAATTAACATGTTCACACGTTAGATAACTTAATCAATATAATTCATTAAACATTTATAATCTAATAACATGAAATAACTTTAAAAGTGATTTGCTAAAAAATGGTATTAAATGTGATATGTCTATTGTGAATGGTCCTAAGAATAATTTTTATATTCTAACAATTTTGAAATAAAAAAATACAAGGATGATACTTAAATAATTAAGGACATCATATTTTGTGTTCATCCTGGGTCTTAAAAAATTCAAGGTTGGTCCTATCCGTTGTTAAGACACTTATTTTTTATTTTCACAAAATTGAAGATCAATATAAAATAGACAATTTTCAAATGAATAATAGTAGTGATAAAAATGGATCAAAAAAGTAGGCAAGTATAGAGAGTTAAAATTATTTATTGATAAATTATTTTAAAATATTAATATTTAATTAATAAATAATTATGAAAAATAAAAATTGAAATTGGTTGAAGAAAAACTCCTAAAATATTATTACAAGATATAGATTTGTGTTTAATATATAGGAATTGATGTGAATTTTTCAAATTTTAAAATACAAATATCTTAACAAAATATTTCCTTTCAAAAGTAAATAATGTGCAAACATTTTTTTTAAGAATGTTGATGCTTTAGATTATTTTTATTATTTTTAGTTGAAAGTAAATTATGTACAAACAACCAATGTCATCATCGTCACCAACACGACTATTGCCACATTATTATCACTATCACCACCATAACTTTTACTATCATTATTTTCGCCTTACGACTATCACTTTATGAAATAAAGTGACCACATCTTTCATTTAAATATTTAATGGTTCAGATTTAAGCATATATAATTTAATTTTTGAAAACTTAAAAAAATAACAAAATGCACACCAATTGAAATTTTAGAAAAAATTAAAACAAAACATCTTAACATTATTTTTTTTGTGGTAATACAACTACCATCATCATCAACATCGCAACGACCACCATCATCACCCTCTCCACCACAATTGTCACTGTCATTGTCACATAGTCATCACCACTGTCATGGTTGTCACCATTGTCGATGTGGTGAAGGTAATAGTGATGGTGCTAGTGACACTAGTAGTGACTATGGTGGTGGTAATGCAGCGATGACGGTGGTGGTGGTGGTGTTAGCATTGATAATGACAATAGCAATTGTTTGCACATAATTTACTTTCAATCATAAATATTTTGGATGATCAAAATTCTTAAAGAAAAGTAGGTTTCACATTATTTGATGGGAAAAGTCCAACACAATAACAACAACTAATTGAGAAAGGGTAGGGATGGCAAAATGGGCCAGTCCAGCCCATTCTGGCCTGGCTCACTAATGGCCCACCAAAAACAGGCCAGACTAGGTCGACCCACTAATGAAAAATAGGTTGAAAATGTGGGCCCACCTTGCTTAAGGGTGGGCTGGCAGGCTGGCAGGCCAGCCCATATACCACAAAAAACTACAAAAAAAAATATATCTTATGTTCAAATAAAAACTATTACAAATAAATAAATATAACCACATGAAATTAAAAATACATACATATTGTGCATAATATATGTTCAACAAAAGAAAATTACAAACTTAAAACAAAATCAAATAGAAAATAGTCCACTTACACCAAAATCAAAACTAAATTATAAACTTACAAATTACTAATAATCTAAATTTTCTAATAGTGCACAAAACAAGTTCAAACACAATTAATCAACTTTGACTTTCTATTTCAAGAACATTAGAAGCTCCCTTGGAAGAAGTTGTCTCTCCTTTTTCATCTTGGTCATCTTCATCCTTATCTTTTACATCAAAATAAATAAAACATAAAAAAAAATTAAAGTAAGAATGTTGAAATAGATATCAAAATTATATAGATAATTACATTTAAAAATTAAAATTAGATTAAATGAATTATCTTGATTAAAATCATACTTCCAACTAGAAACACAAATAATTGCTTCTACATTTTCAGGCAAGAGATGGTTTTATACTTGTCAAGGATACGAGAACTAATACTAAATGTAGATTCAGATGCAACTGTGGTAATAGGGATGCTTAACAAGTCCCTAGTCATTAAGGAGAGATTCATAAAATGTTGACTATTATTCTTCCACCATTGTAGTATATCCATATGCTCCGTAAAATCAAGATCTAAAGTGGGTTCATCTAAATATATATCAAGCTGAGTCCTTCCGGATTTATTAGCAACTTGAAGCTTGGGCATTTTTAATTCCTTATATGATAAGAAAAAAAAATAAGTTAGAAATATACATAATATTTATATGAAGGAAATCACGATTTCAAAAAATTAAAGTAAACAACTTACATCAAAAAGGCCTGGTTTGCTATTGATTGAAGATGATGGAACATCCTTACGCTTTAGATTTTGAACATTTAATTTAGAACCTTGGCTAGAATAATGGGAGAAAAGCATGTAAACTTTTTCATTAGCTTTCTCCAATTTTATTTCCCAAGTAAGCGAATCAATTCTTTCATAGCAATAATCCAATGTTTCCAACTTCATCCTTGGGTCTAAAATTGCACCAAATGCAAGCACAACACTATACTCATCCCAATAATTTTCAAATTTCTCCATCACCAATTCAACCATAATTCTTGCAACTTTATCTTCATCTGTTACACTTCCCATTAAAAGGCATTGGATTTTCCAAACTTGTAAAAAATACAAGTTGGAAGTAGGATAACTTGTACTAGAAATTAATGTAATTTCATAAAATGGTTGCAAGAATTTACAAATCTTTGTTGCTCTTTCTCATTCTTCATCTGAAGGACAATATTTGTAATTTTCATCAACATAATGTAGACTTCCAAAAATACGTTGATATTTAAGAGTACTTTGAAGCATCAAAAAAGTTGAATTCCATCTTCTAGGAACATCTAGAGACAACCCACTTGATGAATTAATGTCACTAAATTTTTAAAGACATTGTTTGAATTTAATCATTCTACTCTCTGAACCCCTTACATATTTTATGCTAGTTCTAATTTGATCCAAAGTGCCATCAAGTACCTTTAATCCTTCATGAACAATCAAAGTTAAAACATGAGCACAACAACGCACATGAAAAAATTCACCATCACATATCAATCCTTTTTGCAAAACAAGTTGTTTTTTTAATGTCTATTGTAAAACATCATTAGCAGAAGCATTATCCAAAGTGATAGAGAAAATATTTTTCTCTTCCCCAATCTTGTAAAAAGTCCCCAATCATTTTAGATAACTCAAAACTAGTGTGAGGGGGAGGCATATGATGAAAGTTAAGAATCTTGCTATTTACCTTCCAATTTAGATCAGCCATGAACGAACTGCTATCTGCACCAACGG